TTTTTATGAAATTGCACTTTTAAATGTTGTAAGCCACCCTAAGGTGTGCTTTTGTGCCAAAAGTCTTAAAGAGCAATTTAAAAAAAATACCTAATATGCTAGCTAGCAGACAAAGATAGTATTAACAGCATTTCGCACTATTTAAACAAGAAATGGGCTGCTAACCCACCCAGCCGTGGGAACTCAACAGAAACCCTTCCCCAAAGCCTCACCCCTTCAGCACTCATGGGGGAGAAGAATATTCACTGTTATCTCCAAATAAGTTATCAAAAATAATACTGGGTGTTCCCCTACAGGCCACTCCCACACCCCACTGGGAGGGAAAGCAGCATGTTAAGAGCTTCACCTGCCACAAGTCATTAATTTTTATCCTACCTCAGGATTAACCAAGGCATATTTAAGTATCCAATTTCAGGATGCTTGAAATTAATCTGCGGGGAAGATGCTCCACATGAAGCAGCTCATTGCCAAAGTAAGGGCAGCACAGTTCACTATCGCTCCAGACTATCCCCATGAAATATCAAGGTTTCTAGTGGGGGGAAGCAATTGTTATGCAAAAAGTTTGCTGCACAGAGATACCCCCACATATTTCCATTTTAAGTGGCTCCAATGCAGTTGTTGACATACATACATAGATTTCAAATTACACATTCCTTTCAAAGTAAAGAAAGCCAGGGCATTTAGAGTCTTTATACTGCATTTTTATTTATTTCTAGAGGCATATTAAATGTTACTACTGTTAAGAAATGCACAGGCCTGTTTCTTCTCCCCAACACCATGTACACAATATATCAGCAACACAAAGACAGAAGCACATGATCAGAAAAGTGTCTAATTAGTAGACACAACACAACAGAGTTTTCCCAAATGTTTCCATTTGCATTTACCTAAAAATTGCATTTGCCTCTTCATATTAGTAATTGCTTTCTTTAATTTCATTGCTGTTCCCACAGGGCTGCTATGGAACACAGCTGGCATATATAACAGTACTACACTTTTCAAATTATCTATTAACAGGGCAGCAAATCTGTGGATTCAATAGGTAAATGGAGGCCAGAAGCAACGTCTGCTAACCCACATGAAACAAATAATTTTAGCAACCACTCAGAAATGGGTTTATGAGTAACAGTGGAGCAAAGGGCCAAGAAGAGGAACCAATCCAGAAGATCATTAGGATCGTGTAGGGATCTCCCAAGGATGGAATATGTAGGGTTTGTTTTATTAGTGTTATTAAACTGATGACTGTCAGAATCCAGAAGGGCTGCTACAAGTGACTGGGGTATTTTGTGTTTTGCTTGTTAAGTTCAAGTCCCAGAAGCTGGTATGTTTCAAAACTGCCCTGCAACTTCTGAGTCTTTCACACTCTTGTAAAACTTGGGTAAGGCATTGACTGTGTTCATATGCAATGGCAAGCAAGAGGCTGCTTGCTCCTTTGTGGTTTCTCCCACCAGTAGGAGAAGCTACACCAAGGATGCAGGGCATATTCTTGGTGGAGAGATGCCTGTGAAGGGCCCCCACCAGGCCCTTCACAAGCCATGCAGCCGTGACCCTTCAGCATGGCGAAAGGGCCTCGGCTGTGTCAGGGGAAGCAGCTGTTCTTCCCAGAACTGGCCAAGCCCGTAGCTTCACATGCCCCTTTATGTTCCAACAGGGATGGACGCATGCGCAAATGGAGAGGGGCAGCTCTTTCCAACACCAGCTGAGTTGGGTGCCTCCTCCACCTTGGAGGAAGACTTGGTGGCCTCCCCTGCTGCCTTATCCCTGCTATTATCTCTGAACTGGTATTAGAGGTGACAATAGCATTCAGGGAAACCCCTGCTGTTATTTCCCATTAAGAGACTTTCCTGGGGTAGGGTACCCAAGGAAGTTCCGTGGACTGTATGGAGGTATGTTTGTCCAGATTAGCCTGGCAGTACTGCATCCCTTGGATAAACTAGCCAGTTAATCAAAGCTCACCACAAACCATCCCCCTCAGTCTAGTACCCTCCTAGCATTTTGGACTGCAGCTTCCAGCAGACCCAGAAAGAGAAACCAGTGGTTAAATACTGTATGGCTTGTGGCCCAAAACATCTGCAGGGGACCAGGTTGGTGAAGACTCATCCAAATCAAGAGACTTGCCTTGTTCCATCCCTTACAAGCCAGACTTGCAAACCAAAGTTTCTTCTTGGTTTACTATCCCTGGCTTGTTTGAAAACAGCAAACTGGGAGCACAAGCTCAAGCAAATGCTAAACTTTGTGTTTCTTTAGTTCATGAGCTGCTTGTGTGTGAACACATACTTGGCTTACAATAATCCAGAATTCTTCAACATTCTTGCTCATTTTTGCATATGAGCAGTTCCACAAGCTGTTCCATGGTCTGTTTTGGAAGTGCAGAGATTCTGAACTAACTGATGCAAATAGGAGAACCATTCTACTTCCTAACGTTTTCCTGCACTAATGTGGTATATCCAGTCAAATTCTGGATATACAGAAAAATTCTGGTAGCATTGCCAATAAGGTTGTTATGAAAGCTACCTCTACCATCCTGGAATCTCTCTCAGCATGTGCTCAGGAACTACTTGAGCAGATGAATCTACCAATATGGATTAATATAGCTGAGCATCTGGCACTAGGGACCTCAGCTGCTGCCATTTCACCTGGACTCCTGATCCAGAGGTAGAGGAAGCAGCAATATTTGGGGAGTGGAGGAGCGAAAAAGAAAGATAATCACAAACATCACACAGTAATCACATAACGTTTGACAGTCACAGGAAATCTCATCTCAAGTATTAATTCGTGCAGTGTGGTTGTGAGAGTGCTGGACAGGGGGACCAGAGAGATCAGGGTTCTAATCCCCACTTGGACATGAAGCTTACTGGGTGACTTTGAGATAGTCACAGACTCTCAGCCCAACCTACCTCACAGGGTTGTTGTTAAAATGGATAAAATGGAACTTTGTAAGGCACCTTGGGTTCCTCACAAGAGGCAAAAAGGTGAGATATACATTTTATTTTTATTTATTTATTTTTTTATTTATATCCTGCCTTTTTCCTACAAAGGGCTCAAGGCAGCTTACATCTTCCTCCTCCTCCATCTTATCCCCACAACAACAACACTGTGAGGTAGGTTGGGCTGAGAGTCTGTGACTGGCCCAAAGTCACCCAGTTGGCTCCATGGCTGAGCGGGGACTAGAACCCAGATCGCCTGAGTCCCAGTCCCAGGCTCTTAACCACTATGCCACACTGGCTCTAATAAATAATAGTAATCAGCCCAGATGTAGGGTCAATTCATAATGTAAGATTGAATGCAGGTTGGCAACACAGGTATTTCAGGCTGGATAGTTTTCCATGACGTTTTTTTCAAGAGCACATTCAAGTAATACGTATATTATCTAACAGCAGCTCTGTAACCAAATAAGGAATCTATCAAACCTTATCTACTTATCTCATATAGATAACTCTAGATAAAATATTTGCAAAGAATACACTGAGATACTTCTATTAAGTATACAGAAGTATTGCAGCAATTTTAACATGAAGAGTAAAGAAGCATTTTGGTCCTCATGAAGCTCTGCTTTACCCACAAGTGTCAAACAGATCTCAGCAAAATTCTAAATTTGAGAAGTAAACACCATCTTTACAACATTATCTGAAAATGCATTATGCATAAATAATAATTATGAGAACTTACTCAGTAGAAAGCTCTCCTCAAGTTAAGAAGCAGACATGAGTTATTTGTGTAATGAAATTTGATTCCACAAATTATATGTTAATATCAAGATTATTTTTGCTTCATTTTATTGCTACCAAATGGTTTCTAATTGCTAAGTTAGGAATGTGAGCAATTAAGCTTAATAATCAGTATAAATATATTAACATCCCAGCATTTAAACCTCAGTCATATTAATATTTTATTTACTAGAAACATTGCCTACTGCTAAAAACATACATCATGAAATGCAATTTTCTTTTTAAAAAGTCTTATTCCTTAGATACTTTGTCTTTTAAAATAGTTTAGTAAATTATGCATAGATGCTCACATCTTTTGCTCACCTCTTACTTGTTGCATATATTATCTTTCCTTGAAGGAAAACAAATACAGTCTTGCCTAATCAGCTTTCCATGCAAACAGAAGTCCAAATTCTCATAGTGCAAAATGAACTTCTCCCTGCCTAAAGCTGGAGGACTGCATGGAGGTGGGAGTGAGGGTCAGGGTGCTTCCAATGTTCCTTTGGACTTCCATGAAGACAACCATAAACCCCACTTCCTCAGAGTATCCATGTTAGTATATCGCAACAAAAGCGGAGCCTTAAGGCATCTTAGAGAGTAACACATTTATTGTAGCATAAGCTTGCACATCTGTTGACGTGCCCTGCAGACCACAAAAGTTTACGCCACAATAAATGTGTTAGACTTTAAGGTGCAGCAAGACTTTGCTGTTTCTACTATTTCAAATGCAAATTGTTTCAAAAAACAAAACAAAGAACACTGGGGCCTCTTAAAGACTAGCCAATGTATTTCGGTATTAGTTTTCCTGGACACAGTCCATCAGATGCGGATGATGTGCAGCGTGGGCCAGCACTTATGCTCAAAGAAATCTGTGTTTAAGGCGTAGCAAGGGTCTTTATTGCTTTTGTGGGAATAAGACCATCAAAGCTACCCTTCAGAAATTGCAAAAGGAGCAGCGGGGGAAGCCTGTGTGAGTTAACAACGGATCGTCTGGGAAGTCTGGAACTTAATACTCCAAATGCCAATCAAGTACAGAAACCCGAAATTGGCTGAAGGAAGCAGCGCACGCCCACAGCCTCCGCCTGGAGGGGAAACAATGGGAGAGGAAGGGGAAGCAGCCTCATCTGGCTAGCTATCCTGGCACAGTAAGTGATGTGAAGGAGAGGGAGAGAGATCCAGTGCGCGCCTACACCTTGCATGGCAACCACAACGCCCTCCTCGACCTCGCTCTCCCTGTCAAGGGGCGAGGCGGACGGCAGAAGCCCTGAAGCGGGGAGCGCGGTTTTTACTCACCAAACAAGGTAAGAGCCATTGTAAAGGCGCAGCAGCGAGTCGCAGGTTCACGTCGGGACGGCTCAGGCGGACTCGGCTGCCGGACATTGGCTCTGCAGCTCTCCTCACCAGCGGCGCGCACCGAGCAGAGGGAAGAAACACAAACAAGAGAGCAGCCAGGCTGCAATAAAAGTTATCGCGGAGTCATGGTGGGCGGAGGAGGCGCTGCGGGGCGCGGGGCTGTGCCCGGGAGGGCGCGTGCAGGGCGCTGGGGCGCGCGGGCGGGAAGGCGACGCCGCCTGGAAAGCGCGCGGGCAGCTCGGGGCGCCGCGCTCCGCTGCCGCCCCCCGGAGAAACGGAGTCGCTCCCCTTTTTTTAGGCGGCGCTGCTCGCGGTTCCCACCCACTCACCACGGGCTGCAGCCTTCAGGCTCTGGTAGCCATCTTGCCTCGCCACATGACCAGCTTCTCCTCCCTCCTGCCTTCGCCGCTTGCGGATCCCTCTGTGCGTTCCCATGGCAACGGAGATTCATGGGCCACCACCTTCCTCCATCCCTGGCTCTCCCAGGCAAGGTCCGCACACTTAGGGCTGGCATTGCATTGCACGGCTCTGCATTTTATTATTAATCGAGGAGCAAGGGGGGCTCTGTCTCTCACTCTTGTGCCATCTGCCCTTGCTAACGTGCCAACTAGCTGAAGGGAACGCTAGTTTTCCGTGACTAAATGTTTGTTAGCAAGCACCCTGTCCTGGTCCCGACATATTCAAGATCCTTGCTATTACCTCTTGCATTAGTTCATACCGAATAATCACTATTCTCGCGTTCCATCTTCACAAATGCTAGCATGGTTTAGAGCCCACTCATCCGATTAAATAACGTGGAAAACTTATTAGTTAGCTATCCTACTTGTGAGTACCACATGGCTGCCAAAAGATAACTAACCCATGTTATTTTATGGGTGTGCCCTTGTTCATTTTGAATTTTTGGTCAGATAGTTCCTGAAAACACATTTTATTCTTTGACCTGCATTATTGTTTTCTGAAGGGTATTTTATTTCCTAGAAGCCTGTCCATGGACATGGGCAGATTTTATAGATGGGTGGTGGGAAGTATTGTATTTCCTTTGTCCTCATCTGCTGTATCCAGATCTCTCCACTTGACCAGAACTTGCCTGGTCAGGTTTGGCCTTCTAGCTGTGTTTAGTGCAGCTCAGATAAGAGCTAGAGCAAGAAGCACCTTAAACTAGTATATGCTGAAGAGTTTATTTATGACATACATATTTTATCCCACCTTTCCACTAAGGTAGCACAAAGGAGTTGTGGTCCTTCCTACTCCATCTGATTTTCACAAGAACTTCATAAGATAGATTATGCTAAGAAATAATGATTAGCTCAAACTTACCCAAATGGGATTTGAACATGAGTTTTCCCAGCCGTGCTTGTATAATCTAAGTAATAGAACATACTAGCTCTCAAATTCTTCCTATTTTGCCCAACCATATTGAAGCAAAACTAAGGCACAGGAATAGGAATCTTGCTTATACCACAACTTTTCCAAAAGATATAATCAAGATGGCTTTCAGATGATAACATATATATAGTAAAATATAAAAAGTGTGAACCATGTTTTAAAGCTGCAGGAATTAAATACTTTACAAGTAATATTCTGGAAAATCCTTCTGAAACAAAACTGGTTTCACTGCTCATTGAAAAGCAAGCAGCAAGAGACAATGAAAAGCAAGCATCTTTGGAAGGTTATTCCAGATTTGAGGTGTCATGACCAAAAAGGACTAGTCTCTGGTTCCTACCTGCCATTCATCTGTTGACAGAATAACAGAGATAAAAGTTTTTGGCAGGTTTATAAGATACAAGACAATTTTCCCAAACCATGTAGGGATTTAAATGTTCTGGACTTTGAGTCAAGTCTGCAGACAAACTGAAAAACACCAAAACCAGGTAAACATCAGAAGGATTTGCAGTCAAAACTTTCTCAGATGTATTCTGAACCAAAGGAAGCTTTCAGTCTTCAAGAGCAGCTCCATATGAAATGTGTTAATGCTAATCTAACCTGGAGCAGAAATATCTACAACCACATTCCAAGAAAGCTTCAGCTTTCATAAAAGCAAAATCAATAGTTTCACTGTACAAATGAGAACTGGCTGTATCCAGAATGGGTAATCTTGTATACCAAACATTCAGTTAATCTGAATTGTATGCGGAAAGGTGGCTTTTTTAATAGAAGAGCAGTAAAAGGTGGAAAACCTGAGAATATACTGAGATTGACAGATGGAGGAGTGACCGATAGGGAAGCATCTTAAGGCATACAATTTTACGAGTTTCACATGTTTGAATTTGCAGCAGCCTTGAAGATGTGAAAAGATTGGGATCCCAGACAAAAAGTGGTCACTTTCCCAGCAAGAAAGCATTTTTGGGGGGTATATTTGCAAGTACAAATGAAGATAAACTGCTTTTGTTTTGAATTGGGTGTTATGAATGAGTTGGCACTGCATGAGTTGTACCTCCTATGGGGGAAATCAGGCAACTCTTTCATTGGTACCATAATTTAAAAAATGTGGAATGGGCAGGCCAGCCTAGAGGTACTTTACCCAAGAGGAGTTAAATGTGAAGTAATGTTACTTTAGATCCTCCAAATAAGCATCAGTTGTGAGTCTACATAGTGCTGACCTAACCAGTTGAACTTGTTGTTTTACATTCCTGTCTTGGAAGCTAGTTATGCATAAGATTATGTTATAGAGTTCTATCTTTAAGGTGATCCCCTTAGATAAGGGAAAAGAAGAGTAATGACTAACCAGCAAGGTGGGGAGCTGGTAGATATATTTTAAAAGGCTATGGCCCTAATTTACTTTTCCTCTTGAGCCATGCCCCAACTGGCTTCTAAATCACAATAATTAGGTATATTAAGCATATGCTGAAAGTGATGTTAATGAATTCATCTGAAAGGAGATTTGATAAGGCTTGAAACAATAACACCAGCACTAGAAATAAAGGCGCACAAAAATGACTGTTTTTTCAGTGATTTCTGTCATTTTCTTTCACAGTGTGCTATCACTTGTCTGGCTTAGCTATGTTTTTACCACCCCCAAAATATGCTGTTTTAGACTACCAAAATGTGTATATATTTTGCAAGGGCAGCCCCTGTTTTGAAGCAAGAGAAGCCTGTCTGAATGTGAGGAAGTGTGGGAGCAGCTCGGCCTGCCCTTCAGCAGCAATGAAGGCACCGCCAAAGTGGGTAAAGGCAATTAATTGCCTCTCCCTCCTCTAGATTGCACAGACTGATAGAAGGACGCACCTTTTAACAGTCTGACTCTCATACCAAAGGTCAGGCTTGAACAGAAGGGCTTTCCTCTTCTTTACTTCTACAAGGTTGCCCTTAGTTGCTTGGCTGCCTATGTCATCTTCGGTGTGCTGTATTATGAGTGTGATCAGCCTGTCTGCAATGCATTTAAAAGCCAGGATAAAGTCAGTAGATAAAGTCAGTAATAAACTCATTTAAAAGCCAGGACAGCCTACCCTACTATGGACTGTCAGTAGTTCAAAGTAAACTGCAGTGTGTCCAGCATGGTATCTTAGTGTGCTTGTATGTCCACATTCCCAGTAGAGAAGGTGCATCCACTCCACATTCTCAGATTTATCTTCTCAAGGTGCCTCTAAGGAAAGAACTGACCCTTGATAAAAGGTAGCTGCAGTGACCTGGCATTTCTAAAAGACTTGGAGAGAGATTAAATAAGACCAGTGATTTCACAGGAAGAGAGACAGAAACAAAGACAGTTGAATCTCCCTGTGCATGCAGTGACCACTGCTGTTTCAACTAAGGGCTTTTCAGCACAGAAGATGCACTGATTTTCAGTTCTACATTTCTCCTGCCCTCAATAGGATACCTGTAACCAACTGGACTTGGAGTGTTACAGGCATCCTAACTGGATTGTACCCTTATACATTTGGCAAAAGAATTTTTTTCCTAACATCAAATCATTTTCATCCAAAAGAATCAAGAATCTATCACCTATCTTGCCTTTTGAGAAGGGAATCGCAGATCAGCCTAATTTTAAGCTCATTCATTTCATTTTATTTTTGGTTCTTGATTTTGACTCCTGCTTTAGTAATGTCTTCATTTAGTATTTCTGTCTTCATTTTCCACTTTCAAAATTTTTTCTATTACATATTTATTCATAATTGAAAACTTAATGTATTGATCATAAGACTTTAAAATTAATTATCAGTTGGATTGTTAAGATTTTCAGTTTACAGTTTATGAACAATAATGTTATTCTCTTCCATTCCAAAGAAAAGTATCTGTGTTTGGGAGTTTTCCTCTGATTCCTTTCACAGTGGTTCTCTCTTCTGAAATATACAGGATCATGCTATGCACAGAGCAGCTATTCAGTGTTCTGAACCTCAGCAATCAGTTTAGAGATGCTTAAGAAGTAGCAGATTATCCACTGTTTTGTCTTTGATACATAGAAAGCATTTCATTGTATATGGTCAATACAGGACTTATCTGCAAGTTATGGAACATATCTGCAAATCCATTTTGACATGTGAAAATGTTGGTTAAGTACAAAGATATACTATGGTCATAGTGGACCTACCTGGGTCATTTTGTTTAATGAATAACTGAATAAGAACGATGTGAGTATGTACCACAAAGTATTATTCTGTATGCTTAACAGATTTCCTGCTTACCTCATTTTTATATTAACATGTTTATCTTCATTTTATTTGTCAGTCACCCTGGAAACTAATGCTTAAGCATGTATATAAATGCCTTAATAAATACATACACAAAAATGACAAGTTAGATTTCTGTACCTTGTGCAATGTGTAGTGTTCACATAATGGAGTTCCATTTCTCAGTACTCTGACTGCAAAACCTGTTGTCCCTTGGTGGAGTGGAAGGAGTTGCTAACAATCGCTTACTGAAATCATCTCCTTGATGTAGGAAGTATCAGAACAAGAACCTAACAGAATTCATCTGCTAGCACTGTTGAGGTTGCACTAGTGTAAACCAATACTTGTGTGATGTCCATAGTGCTAGTGCAACAGGGAATTTACTGGCACAGTAGCAGAAAAAAAGGCAGCAATGTTCTTTCAAAACGGTGTGCAGAGAGCATAACCAAGTTAAATCACACTTGCAGGAGGCTTCCAGGTATGCAAGTTCCATTAAAAACAAAGCTTGAGCTCCTTGCACACCCTTTCTTAAAGGAAATAGTCTTCTTTTGCTGTTGTATTGCCATTTCCCCCTTACACTAGTGATAGTGATGTTTCACAAGCACTAATTTATGCTAGTGCAGTGTCTATAGTGTCATCATAGAT